TTTTTTTTTTTTCATTAATTTTCTGTTTAGGCGACTTTCCACCTTCACAGAATTAAGACACGATTTCACTTTCCTAGAAAAAACCGTTGCTTGATGGGAAATCACTCACTGCAACAAAGAAGACAAACAGTAACTGTGCAATCAACGAGAAGCGCGCACGTTCAACGCAAACAGGCAGCACCAGGTACCAAACAACGAACCATCCATCGCGCAATAAAATACTGATTTCAAAACCGAGCCAAGAAAAACCTACTTGTACAATTTTTCTCGTCCTCTTCATTTTTGCAGTCTATATCACCATCACACCGCCAAGATCGAGGTATGCATCGCCCGTCATTGCAAGCAAACGTTTCATTTCCGATGCATGCTGCAAAATGTAGGCGTGATCGATGGATATTGGTTAGCTGTCAGCAACGATAACACAGCTGCTTATCAAAATAAAGGTGCTCCCATAACCACAAAGTAAGTGCCACATGCAATACAAGGCCGAGAACTTAGTCTAATAGCTTGGTTAAAATGTAGGGGCAATATATGACGAGGGAAAAAAGTTAACCACGAAGGTGACAGCCCGGTGTGTAATGGGGTAATCCAGTACGTGACATTTCCTAAACAATAAGAAAGCGAAATAGGAAAGTGCAGCTAAGCATAATTACTGGACATTTATATGCCATAGTGATAAAAGGAAACGTAAGCAAGCTTTACGATACAACGAAGAAGAAAAATCGTCCGAAACGAACCCAGGCTACGTCGGAGCGAGCTCAAGCCGCTCGCACCACCACCCCCGGCTAGCGTCGACAGTTCAGCTAAAAAGCGCGTTTAAATTGAAGAATAAATCAAACTAACCCTTATGGAAATAAGTCGGAGGTCCATGAGGACCTGAAAGCGTAAAATATGACCACTTCGACAGCAATCATTTTCCTCGCTTTTCAAGTTTACAAGACAGAAATAATAAGTAATCGTAAAAAATATGTTTTCTGATCTTCCTTTTGTTTTCAATTGATCTTGGAGGGTCAACAGCCACTTCACATCGATTTTCACCAAGCTACACACATGAATTTCCAATTTCGCTCAATACTCGCTTTGATAACGAAACACAAGGCGCTGGAAATGATAAGGGTTTTTCCTGGAAGACAATAGAGACCAGCACTGTCTAGCACACACGTCATTATCCAACCCTTAACTCCTCCCAAATTCAAGAACCAAAAAAAAAGAACCATAGCCCCACTTACCTAGTATTGGCGCTACCTTTCGACGATATTTCACTAATGCCTCACTTTTGTAAACAATGCTGGTCGCTTCTATAAAACCCTGTGCCCAACTCAAATGCATTCTATGAAGTGATCTGCTATGGCGCTTATTCCTATGGTTTACACAGTCCAGTACGGTAGCTCGAGATTGATCTCATAAACATGCGCAGCGTCCACATTAAAAGACCATATGCAGCTTATCTAATAGAAAAGAAATACGAGGTACGGAAACATCGGATTGGAGCTTTACAAAAAACAGTGGTCTATTGTTGTTTAAAATGTCCTTTGCCTCTTGACTTTTGAGTTGAGTCCGCCTCAATCCATTGATTCCTGGCCAACCGCAATACTCGGGGTGTTCCTCGAAAGCCCATATCAATCAAGCCCTCCTTATCCTGCTCGCCACCTATTGGAATCTCGATTGACATAGGTGCCCAGTGAAATAGTGACATGGCTACTTCACATCGATATCTGTTCTGTGAACAACTGGATGAGTAATCTGTTGTGACGTTTAAACATTGCTCAGCGGTGGCCGTTGAAAACATATTGCTTGGCCTTTGCAAAACTTTCCATTTCTCACTGTTTGGAACAATATTAGGGGATTTAACGGTCTGTGTATGATTAAATTTGATGATAATAATAACATCACTGGAAGGCAAAACCACATCGCAAGGTGGAGCTTAAACGCTGTTCGAAAAAATAATTATAGATATAACGGTCAAAGAAAGCTGTTAGACTCATTTGCTCATACTTTGCTTGTAAGGGGACCCTCAATGTCAACAACAACTTTAAAATTAATGGTGGGTCATTAATTTTGAAGTTGCTGTTGTCTCGAGCCAGACAGCCACATCATTCCACGAAAACAAAACATACTCGAGCAAGGGAAAAGCC